ATTAAGGCACTATTTCTGCCATCAAGAGCTGTGGTGGGGATGTAACTGCATCACATCACTGTGATTCAACTTTTATGCAACAAAGTTGTGAGTTGTTTTTCAGTTGCCCTGGCCCCTCAGAATAAAGTTCTCCTAAGCTGAGAATGCTCAGCTGAGCCAAGTGTGCAAACCACAAGTGGAACCTATGTGCTCAGATCAAGGAATGGGACTGATTTAGGAAGTAGACACTATGTGATGGGTTTGAAGGACCAATCATATTGAGCGTTGGAGTCACCCATGGGCAGGATCCAGAGTATGCCTCCTGGTATCACCCCATGGCAATATCCAATCAGATTATGCCTCATTACCCACTGCTATAAAACCTGCCCCAACCCCCAACTTAGGGAGACAGATTTGAGCATTTCTTCCTGTCTTCTTGACATTCAGTTCACAATAAACTTTTCTTGCTGCAAAACCCCCATGCTTCTGTGTTTGGCTTTCTGTGGTGCATTGGCAAACAACAGATCCAGTCTGGTGTGCTAACTAAAGGAGAAAAACACCCAGATGGAGCCATCATGGAGTATAATAGCTCTGCAGTAATGTGTGTACTGAGTATGCTGAGAATAGAGAGGAGTCTACTCTATCTGACATTCCTTTAACTGGATGGCCAGTGGTAGTTTGAGACATTCACACTAAAATTAGCCTAAAATAAGAATATCCAAGGTCACATAAGATAAAATAACTTTACTCAATTTCAGGTAAAAATGACCTATGTACAATCTCTTTGCTTTGAATGACTGTGAGGCATATCAGAATGTGATTTTTTTTTTTTTGAGATGAAGTTTTGCTCTTTTTGGCCAGGCTGGAGTGCAGTGGCATCATCTTCGCTCACTGAAACCTTTACCTCCTGGGTTCGAGTGATTCTCCTGCCTAAGTCTCCCGAGTGGCTGGGATTATAGGGGATTACAGGCACCTGCCACCATGCTCAGCTAATTTTGTACTATTTTTTCTTTTAGTAGAGATGGGGTTTCACCATGTTAGCAGGCTTGCCTTGGACTCCTGACCTCAGGTGATCTATCCGCCTCAGTCTTCCAAAATGCTAGAATTACAGGCATGAGCCACCATGCCCAGCCCGGCATGTGATTTTTAAAATGGCACTCTTTTTAAGAAGTTCATAGGCTTAAACTGTTATTCTCATCTCTAAAGACTAACTGGTAAGAAACATTAAGTGCATGTAATTTGAAGTTAAAAAAAAAAAAAAAGAGGTGGGCTATGAGAAGTGTTGAAGACTCAAGAAAATGAAGGAGTGGAAGAGGCATTTTATTGTTATCCTGTAAAGAGTATTGACATAACTTTTTTTTTTTTTTTTACAACAACAAAACAGTTTCTACATTAGATTTTTTTTCTGACAGTAGATTTACATGAATGTGGCAGCTGAGATAGGAGGAAATGAGAGAGACGCTGAAAAATTAAATAGATGTTTGTCTGTTTTACAATTTTGCCTAGGGCCAGCCCTGTTTCATAAATATAAATGACTTGGACTTCACATCTTGTTTATTGAAAAAAATTGGATGTGTACTGTGACATCATTCAAAAAATAGTATAAATAGAATGTGTATATAGTTGATAAAATTTCACTCTTAGATGTGATGTAAAACACAGGTATCATATAAATAAATGCACAAAGAGATGCTGAGAGGGTAATTTTCCAAAATGCAACCGAGATTACTTTTTATGTTTAGGATGGGGAGCTTTTCGCTTTCTTTATTAAACTTTTATATTCCATGAATTCAAAAAAATCATTAAAATGCAATATTATACACTAGGCATTGGTACTGTTAACTGAGTATATAAAATAAAGCAAAAGCATGTGTAATTTTTCTCTCACAAACATACATCATTGTTTTTCTTTATTCTAAAAAAAGAGGGGTATACATGTGCAGAACGTGCAGGTTTGTTACATAGGTATATGTGTGCCATGGTGGTTTGCTGCACCTATCGACCTGTCTTCTAAATTCCCTCCCCTCACCTACCACCCCCCAACAGGCACCGATGTGTGTGGTTCCCCTCTCCGTTTCCCTGTGTTCTGAATATTGAACTCTCACTTATGAGAATATACAGTGTTTGGTTTTTTGTTTCTATGTTAGTTTGCTAAGGATGATGACTTCCACCTTCAAATATGTCCCTGCAAAGGACATGATCTCATTCCTTCTTTTGGCTGCTATTGTCTTAAGGCCTCATTAACTGAGTCAGAAAGTTTTGAACTTTGATATCTGGTTATGAATATATTTGCACATATCATTGTGTTATGAGTGCATATATGAATGTTTTATGTGTATTTGTGTATCCGTGCTTATATGCTCTTTCTGTCTTTGATACACACTATTTTTGTTTGTATTAATACATGCTTTTCTATAGGCATTTATGAAGATGCTTCTTGGTGTAAACCCTGTTAGGAACTGGGTATACAAAATGAGTAAGACTTCTTAAGAAATGCAGTCTGGTAGGATGATAAACATAAAAGCAGATAAATACATTATAAAGTGAGAAATGTTGCTGCAAACCTCTGTCAACTACTTGAAGGACAAAGATTAGCCATGATGCATGGAGGCTATGATCAAAGAAGCATCATTAAACCAGTAACAGGTCAAGGTAAAAACAATCTTCAAGTTAATGGGCAGTAATTACAACTCCACCCTATAAATAGCAGAGCATTCCTGGAACTACTAAAGAAGTGCATGTGGAATCACTTTTGTGTCATTATATTGATCCAAAATTCAGGATTTCCTACTTCTTGTGTATCCTCCTTCTACCCATTTTAACTGTGCAGTACACTGAAAATGTCTCTCTTGCTGTCTCTTACCAACGAGAAGCCTGAGTTTAAGAAACCATCCTAATCAGACATCTGTATATGTTAATCAAGAATAATATTGTTCTCTAGAATACAATTTTTAGTAAAACTGCATTGTAGATACAGCTTAGTTGAAGTCTCCACATAAAAACGTTTTGTTTTTCATCAAAATTCAGTAAAAAGGGAATCTGAATCGAGTGTCTTGTGACTTTGCAGATGAAAATCTGCAGACTCCAAGGAATTTACTCTCAAAAAATCAGTTTAATTGTAAGAAAAATGCTTACATATTGAGAATCTACTCAGAAACTGAGCAAAATTCAGGGTCAAATAATTCTCTTGAGCAAAGAAAACAGTGATTAAAAACAAGGAAAGAAGAATTGCTCAGTTTCCATGTGTCAATAAAAATTAGTTCATTTTTTTCAGATGCTTAAAAACACTGCCTTCCAGGAGTTTAAAATATAAACAATTTTCACTGACTGCATTACTTTACGAAATATTATACTTACCAAGTATAAATGCCACTGACTCCCTGAGTTGTTTCTACATGTGCATGTGGTGACTAATATTAACATTTTGATGTATGGTATTAATCTTTCATTAAAGATGTTCTTATAATACATTAACAATAAAAGCTAATGCTTTTTATTGGGAAGTCAATTACTGTGGTTTAGATGGTAAAGACATGACAAATTTTCAGGCCATGTTTTCTTATTTAAGAATAAATTTAGCATAATTAGTATTCTAACTTGAACTTAAACTCTTGTGGTTGTCTGGAGATTTGCTGGAGAATTCACAGGATTTTTCCGGATATTTTAGGGTTGACTGCAAATTAAAACCATTTTTGTTTATATAACCTAAAACTACATCTTAACAAGAATTCTAGGAGGACAGTTTTAGTAAACTTTAAATATGTGAAAGTTTAAGATACAAATATGAAACCTTAGAAATATGGGGCTTGCAGACTTGGAACGAGCTGTTTTTAGCATCTTAATCTCTAGCAGTATTTGTATACCTTCATTAAAATACATCAATGTTTAAACATTCCTATACACATCTGAAACTAAAGTCTATTAGGTTTTAATTTACAATGGAAAACATATTACAGCATATGAAATTTATTTTCTCTATAAAATAAGAAATGCAGCAGGAAATGGATTCCTGCACTTCATCATCTGCTCATACTGACATTTCAGAGTCCTTTGTGAAGATTCTTAAGGTAACACACTAGTGCTGTCCTCTGCTGTAGATGAGGCATCGTTTGCTAAAGTAATATGATCTGATGAAATTCATCGCAGCAGTGACAGTCTACCATGCAGAAATCTACCCAGTCTCTAAGTGGAACAAGCCATGGCTACAATCATGGGAAAAGACCAGCCTTATCACCCGCCCGTCATTGGTTGATAATTTAACTTTGTTGCTTTACCTCTCATTCTTTAACTTTTCATAAAGGAAAATTCAGAAAAAAAGATGGTGAGATTCTTTCAAATAATTTAGCCACTTATTATTTGTTTACTCCCAAGTACTTAAAACAAGTTTCTTTTCACTTTTTAAAAAATTTCTTATCCTCTCAAACTTACCTTAGCCTTTCAGTTTTGTATCATCTACCAAAAAGCCAGGTGTTAACTTTTATTCTCTTTTGATACTTCTCCTCCCCTTGATCAGTTTTGTTAGTTTTTCTCTTCTTTTTTATACCACTGAAATGTTCATGCCATTCAGCATTCTTCCTTTAGTTCTTTTATGGGAAAATATAGATCCCCCCAGGTCTCTCTATTTTCCCATATTAACTTCATTCATCCTCATGACTGCAATGGCTATCTCTATGCTATGGATAATCAAATATATTTCACTATTATAACTGTCCCTTCCGAACTCCAGTCCTTGTTATCTAACTGCCTATGAGATACCTCCATATTGGATATCTCATATTTGCCTCATCACAACAAATGTTAAGATGAATAACTTTTCCTCTGTACTTGCTCTCCTGTGTATTGCCACTGTCCTTTAAAACAGAGCAAAGCTTCCTCCAGTCTGAGGACCACCATCCCTGTGATTAAGGAGGGGACCCACTGAACCTTGAGTACTCTTGTCAATTGTTCCTCTCTCCCAACATTGACATCCTCCATTACACGAATGATTCCCCTAATACATTGGCTTTCAAGTCTTTAACACTTTCCTCCAAAGATCTTGTCCTCCATTCTGAGACATCCACTCTCATGATTACTCTAGATCTTACCAATCTATAATGAGTTCTTCTCATGCTTCTAACTTTATTTAGTGCCTCAACTCCAAAGATTTCTCAAATCCTCCTGGATCTTTCTGCAAACTATTGCTCCTGCCCTTCCTGTCATTGCCCCCAACTCTCCTCAAATGTTCACTTCCTTGCTTACCCAGTTTAAGTTCCATGGGCGGTCATAACAATCATTTCTTATGTATACCCTCAACTACTTCTTCCTTTCCTTCCACAGTGTATTGGCAAACATAAACTCACACAAAAATATATGGCCTGTAGTCTACTGTGCACATGAACCAGAGCAGGTGATCATGTGAGAGAAAAAACACGTAACTAATTGTACAGACAGATTTTTAACCCATGATGTCTAACCTCAAATATGCCCCTAGTGTTGCCTAAAAAATTCCTCTCCATTTCCCCATGGTAGTCATACTCCCACTCTTAGAGATAAATAGTGCTTACCTTTTCTCTTTTTATTGTGTGTATGTATCTTTTTTTTTAGTCGTACCTTATGTTCTGAGGTACATGGGCAGATCATGCAGGATTGTTGCATAGGTACACATATAGCAATGTGGTTTGCTACCTCCATCACCCTGTCACCTATATCTGGCATTTCTCCACGTTATTCCCCCCAAACCTCCCCACCCCTCGCTGTCCCTCGCCCAGCCCCCTCAACAGACCCCAGTGTGTGATGCTCCCTACTCTGTGTCCATGTGTGCTAATTGTTCAACACCCGCCTATGAGTGAGAACATGCGGTGTTTGGTTTTCTGTTCTTGCATCAGTTTGCTGAGAATGATGGTTTCCAGATTCATCCAGGTCCCTACAAAAGATACAAACTCATCATTTTTAATGGCTGCATAGTATTCCATGGTATATATGTGCCACATTTTCTTTGTCCAGTCTATCGTCATTGGGCATTTGGGTTGGTTCCAGGTCTTTGCTATTGTTAACAGTGCTGCAGTGAACATACGTGTGCATGTGTCTTTATAACAGAATGATTTATAATCCTTTGGGTATATACCCAGTAATGGGATTGCTGGGTCAAATGGAATTTCTATTTCTAGGTCCTTGACCTTTTCTTTTTTCTTTAAGCTTTACTACATTCTTCTCATTCTTGTTTTCATCTGATAACTGCTGCTTATTTTACAGAGGAAAAAATGATACGACCAGACAAAAATCTCTACGTTTTCTTTCAAACAAATCTAGAAAGTTACCTGCATTTGTAACCAAATACTCAATGTTTTTGGTTCTGTTCCCACATCACCCCTCACCCAATTTCCTCACTGAATTCCTCTTCCTACTTCTAGATATTGTGAGGTCTCAATCTTAGTATCTCACTGCCTTGGTGATGTCCGCTGTCCCATAGGTTTTATATGTTTAAATACGGTTTACATGCTAGCCAATCACAAATATTTATTTCCAGCCCAACCTCTTTCCTTGATTCCAGATTTCAAGTGTCCATCAGCTTAATTAACATTTTGCTAAGATATTCTGGAGACTGTTAATGTTGTTCATAAATACTCTCCTACCTTTGGTACATGGTACAGTTGTATTTCTTGGAACCCTCATATCCATGATTTTAGCCAGGAAGTATTTTATGCCATTTACATGAGGAACCTTAAAGAGCCACAGCATGATAGCCATATTCCTGTTTCTGGCTTTGCTTTCTATCAGGTATTCATGTGTCTGCAGACAGCCTCCATCAGATTGGCTCTCTGGGAATGGAGTGAGTATGGCCTGCTGCCAAACCAGGTGGATTTGAAGCAAGAGTGAGTAATAAATTGTCTTACTAAGCCAATGGTACTTTGGGATTGTTGGTTCTTCATCATAATCTAGTTTATCTCAACTGGTAATGTTCCTATTATACGTATCAAATTTAATTTATTCTCAACATCCTTTTGCTTTTCCTTTCCAAACTTGATCTGCCTATAGTCTTCCCCATATCAGGAAATGGAATTGTCAGTATTTCAGTGTTTATAGTCAAAAATATTATTACTTTTTCTTATAACTTACAACCACTCCATCAACAAATCTTATTGGCTTCACTCTGAAAAGGTAGTTAGATTTAAATCACTTACAATGGAGACTAGTAAGTATACAACTAGTACCCTTGTCCAAGCCTGAGTTTTGCAAGTCTCCTAACTCGCCTTCCTGTTTCTCCATTTAAATCATTACAGTCAATTTTCCACATAGCATCAAGAGTGATTTTTAAAAATACATCAGATTAGGCCACCCCTTGCCCCAAACCATTCAGGGTCCATCATTCATAAAGTTGTTGGAATTCACTTGGGGTGGCTGGCAAAATATTCCAGAAAATATTAGAGAAAGTTATAGATGTAATCTCAAACTTTTTGGAAGGCCGAAAGGTTTTATTGGGACAGGCTGAAGGCAGTTAGTTCATTACTAGGGAAGAGAGAGGGGTGATAAAAGGCTTTCCAAGTTTAAGTCTGCTTACTCCACATCCCTTTGTCTCTACTCAAACTGTTTACTCATGTAAACTTTATGCTGGATGACCCTCTCAGGGGGAGATCATAGGGATATTACCCATTAATAGTGTTTACTCTGGGCCTGGAACCTAAAGTTTTTCACATTCGTAAAACCACTCTTAGACCATGTTAATTATTCACAAGCGTGTTGGCTTAGAACCTCTGTACAGGGGGTCTTGGTCGATTGGCTGCAGTTGCCCTTGGAAAGCAACTGACAAGCATCCCTAGCCCACTTGAATCACTATAATGGTGTGAGAGTGCATTCATTCATCCATCTTTAAGCCAGGTTCTGTAGGACAGGCCTCTGCAGGTGGTGGTAAACGTCTCATAAAGTAATATTTAAAGTCATTACCTGGCTTACAAATCCATATCATCGACCCGCTTATGATCTGATCTCATTTTTACTTATCACCACTCTTTTTCTCCAGTCACTGCTTCAGCTACTCATTTCTCACTTAAACACTACTGTGTACTTGCCATTTCACTTGTTGACATTTATACATCAATTACCATTAATTTTAGTTAAATCTATATTATTCTGAATCTTGTCATAATAGAGGTAAGTTTCTGGTTAGGTCTGATTATTAAGAGAAACATAGTGTTTTATATCGTTCAGATATATGTGGTTTTTTTATTGCATTTTAGGTTTTGGGGTACATGTGAAGAACGTGCAAGATTGTTGCATAGGTACACACATGGCAGTGTGATTTGCTGCCTTCCTCCCCTTCACCTATATCTCGCATTTCTCCCCATGCTATCTCTCCCCACCACGCCACCCCCCGCCCCTCCCCCATTTCCCCTCAACAGACCCCAGTGTGTAGTGCTCTCCTCCCTGTGTCCATGTGTTCTCATTGTTCAATACCCGCCTATGAGTGAGAACATGTGGTGTTTGATCTTCTGCTCTTGCGTCAGTTTGCTGAGAACGATGGTTTCCAGGTTCATCCATATCCCTACAAAGGACACAAACTCATCGTTTTTGATGGCTGCATAATATTCCATGGTGTATATGTACCACATTTTCCCTGTCCAGTCTATCGTCTATGGGCATTTGGATTAGTTCCAGGTCTTTGCTATTGTAGACAGTGCTGCAATGAACATTTGTGTGCATGTGTCCTTACAGTAGAATGATTCATAATCCTTTGGATATATACCCAGTAATGGGATTGCTGGGTCAAATGGAATTTCTATTTCTAAGTCCTTAAGGAATCGCCACACTGTCTTCCACAATGGTTGAGCCAATTTACACTCCCAATAACAGTGTAAAAGTGTTCCTATTTCTCCACATCCTCTCCAGCATCTGTTGTCTCCAGATTTTTTAATGATTGCCATTCTAACTGGCATGAGATGGTATCTCAATGTAGTTTTGATTTGCATTTCTCTAATGACCAGTGATGATGAGCATTTTTTCATATGTTTGTTGGCCTCATAGTTGTCTTCTTTTGTAAAGTGCCTGTTCATATCCTTTGCCCACTTTTGAATGGGCTTGTTTGTTTTTCTCTTGTAGATCTGTTTTAGTTCTTTGTAAATTCTGGATATCAGCCCTTTGTCAGATGGGTAGACTGCAAAAATAAGATATATGTGTTTTAATCATTCTTTTATCTGCTGAATTGTCTTAAGAATATAAATAATTATGAAAAACTACATTTGATAGAATGTTTCTTTAGAAAGAAGTGTTTGTTCAGTTAAAGTTATAAACCCATGGTGGTGGAGTTAAAATATGTGCACATATTCTTAGCTATTCCTCCTTTCAACAGGTGGAACTTAATTATTTTCCTTTGAGTGTGGGCTGTGCTTGGTGACTTATATTTGATGAATAAAATGTGGCAGAAATGGCAGTGTAGTTCTGAAGACTAGATCATAAAAGGCACTGTGGTTATGGCCCCTTTCTCTTTCTCTCTCTCCCCCCACCCTTCTCTCTCTCTTTTTCTCTCTCTCCTTCTCTCTCGGATCACTTGCTATGAGGGAAGTTAGCTGCCATGTCACGGAACTGGGGCCTTTGGTCAACATCCAACAAAGAATTGAGGCTTCCAGCCACAGTGAGTGAGCATTCTTGGGGCAGAGAGTGAGCATTGTAGTGAAGCAGATTCTCCAGGACCCAGCCAAACCTTCAGATGACTGCAGTCTTGGCGACCATCTTGACTATCTTAGTGTGAACCTCTATACCAGAAATATTCGTCTAATTCCTGGATCGCTAACTCTTAGAAATTGTGTGAGATAATAAATGTTTATTATTTTAATCTGGTACATTTTGAAGTAATTCATAATGCAAAAAATAAATAATACAGCATATTATTTTTGTCATATAGGTTTGTGACTATAATGCATGTCAAAATTTACCTCTTCACTACCATCTTACTGATCTCATAAAAAAGTCAAACAATAAAAAGATTATATAGATTACCTTACATTTGAGAACATATAGAGAGCATTCTCCTTTGCAAAATTACTTTATAAATAAGATAGATAACTAACAATTGTAAAATGGCTTATAGAGTCTCTTCTATAGGGGTGAAAATATGAGAGAAAGACAGGAAGTGAAAATAAACATTATGCTTTCTGGGTAGGGCAGATGTCAGCCTCTAGAGTAAAAAGCAAAAGAAAAAAAAATGAAAAAAGCCAATTAGTTACTCATAATTTTTTTTTAAAAAAATATACTTCATAGTTCACCTTAGATTACCTGTAATTTCAATTGAATTCAAATCAAGATTTATGGCTTGCCAGGAACTAGACTAAAGATTCAAAGAGAAGCAAGACTTGGACCATTTCCTGGAAGAGTCTAGTAGAGGAATGAGAGCATCAGCAAATAACCAATAAATATATGGTATACTATATACATGGCCAAATGAGGCACCTTTATGATATCTGCAGGCTAATTCTGGGCCATTGCAACAGGCCATGCAACTAACAGCATAGAAAGTATATCTAAAAAGCAACTTAAAAGTCGAGTCAATGTCCTTCTGTTAAACTCATAGGAAATGATTCTTGTGGTTTCAAGGTTATTATGAGGTTGCCCCTTGTTCCGTAAATGTCAGTAATGATTTTCTTTTTCAACTCTTGGTGTTCCATTTTCCATCCACAAAAACAGCTGAGGATGTGGCAGCAGAGAACAACAAATCATCCTGTTGGCGGCTGTCATCACCTGATGACAGAAGAAAAACTGTCAGATGGTGTTTATAAGCAGCACTGATTCCTGCTGGTCATGCTGTTGTAGGACCATCTGAGGCCCCTCAAGGGAAGATGGGTTTGAGGACATCTCCTAGCCACAGCATATGGTATAAACTAATAACGAGCATTTACTTTCGTGGCCTAAAATTCAACTTCATTATATCAGAAGAGGACAATGAGGGAGAGAAGGAGCAATGTAACAAAAAAAGTACTTGGAGAGGGAAAAGGCAGTTAAAAAAAAAAAAAGAGGAAAGAAGGTTGTAGATGCTTGAGCTTAATATGCAGAGAAATTGGGTAAGCATTTGAAAGCTACTCCCTTAGGTAAATAATTCAGCCTCAACCAGATTAATTGGTGAAAGCCTTGCCTTCCCTGAGACAATTCTGTTCCCAGTAGAGCTTTTGGGGGACTCAGAAATTGCCCCTGAGGCAGGTATCAGCTATGTCAGCTGCTTTCCTCATAGCTGTGAGCTGATAGTTCCACATGTTTCCTGTTTGTACCATGTAACTCTTCTCCAACCTACAGTTTTCTTTCCCTTTTTTAAAAAAAAGTATTATATTTTAAGTTCTGGGGTACATGTGCAGATTGTGCAGGTTTGTTACATAGGTATACATGTGCCATGGTGGGGCTTTGCTGCATCCATCGTCCTGTCAACTACATTAGGCATTTCTCCTAATGCTATTTCTTCCCGAGCCCCCCACCCACCAGGTCCCAGTGTGTGATGGTCCTCTCCCAGTGTTCATGTGTACTCATTGTTCAACACCTACTTATGAATGAGAACATGCAGTGTTTGGTTTTCTGTTCTTGTGTCTGTTTGCTCAGAATGATGGTTTCCAGCTTCATCCATGTCCCTGCAAAGGACATTAACTCATCCTTTTTTATGGCTGCATAGTATTCCATGGTGTATATGTGTCACATTTTCTTTATCCAGTCTATCACTGATGGGCATTTGGGTTGGTTCCAAGTCTTTGCTATTGTGAATAGTACTGCAGTAAACATGCGTGTGTATGTGTCTTTATAATAGAATGATTTATAATCGTTTGGGTATATACCCAGTAATGGGATTGCTGGGTCAAATGATATTTCTGTTTCTAGATCCTTAAGGAATAACTACACTGTCTTCCACAATGGGTGAATTAATTTACACTCCCATGAACAGTATGAAAGCATTCCTAAAAATCACAAGAATTCCTATACACCAATAATAGAGAGCCAAATCATGAGTAAACTCTCATTCATAATTGCTACAAAGAAAATAAAATACCTAAGAGTAAAACTAACAAGGGATGTGAAGAACCTCTTCAAGGAGAACTACAAACCACTACTCAAGGAAATAAGAGAGGACACAAACAGATGGAAAAATATTCCATGCTCATGGTTAGGAAGAATTAATATCATAAAAATGGCCATACTGCCCAAAGTAATTCATACATTTAATGCTATCCCCATCAAGCTACTAATGACTTTCTATGCAAAATTGGAAAAAAACACCTTAAACTTCATATGGAACCAAAAAGGAGCCTGAATAGCCAAGACAATCTGAAGCAAAAAACACAAAGCTGGAGGCATCCCATTACCTGTCTTCAAACTATATTACAAGGCTACTGTACTCAAAACAGCATGGTACTGGTACCAAAACAGAAATATAGACCAATGGAACAGAACAGAGCCTTCAGAAAGAATGCCACACAACTACAACCATCTGATCTTTGACAAACCTGACAAAAACAAGCAATAAGGAAAAGGATTCCATATTTAATAAATGGTGGGAAAACTGGCTAGCAATATGCAGAAAGCTGAAACTGGATCCCTTCCTTACATCTTATACAAAAATTAACTCTAGATGTATTAAAGATTTAAACATGAGGCCTAACACTATAAAAACTCTAGAAGAAAACCTAGGCAATATTATTCAGGAAATAAGCATGGGCAAGGACTTCATGACGAAAACACCAAAAGCAATGGCAACAAAAGCGAAAATAGACAAATGGGATCTAATTAAACTCAAGAGCTTCTGCACAGCAAAATAAACTATCAATAGAGTGAACCAGCAACCAACAGAATGGGAAAAAAGTTTGCAGTCCACCCATCTGACGAAGGGCTAATATTCAGAATCTATGGAGAACTAAAACAAATATACAAGAGAAAACTCCATCAAAAAGTGGGCAAAGGATATGAACAGATACTTTTCAAAAGAAGACATTTATGCAACCAACAAACATTAAAAAAAGCTCATCATCCCTGGTCATTAGAGAAATGCAAATCAAAACCACATTGAAATACCACCTCACACCAGTTAGAATGGCGATCATTAAAAAATCTGGAGACAACAGATGCTGTAGAGGATGTGGAGAAACAGGAATGCTTTTCTTTCCCTTTTGAAACTGCTAATGAAGCAGAGAATAAAAAGCTGACTCTCATTGCTTTCCCTTGCAGGGTTCCATTCTGGCCACTGTGGTCTCTGTCACTGTGACCTGTGCAAAAGAAATGAGGCTGCATCACATAGGACAGAGGATTCTATTGCAGCTTTGTGCCAGGCCTGTTTTTATATTGCACCTAAACACACTCTGCTGCCTGGAAGCCAAGATAGGTTCTGTGGTGTAATTCCTTTGTGCCATTGTTCTGGTATGGTGGTCAGATTTGTCTGCCACAGCCTAACCTAGCTGTTCTCAAACTAGAACATGTATTAGAATTACCTTCACGGTTTGTTAGTACACAGTCTGGTGGGTCCTGATCTCAGACCCATTTGCATTTCTAACCAGTGCCTATGTGGTGTTGATACTATTTGTCTAAAACTTTAACATAGAATCTCTGTCCTTTATAATCACTGGCCTAACCCATAGTGATGATCTTACCATTCTCTAAGCTTCCTTTTAGTCATACGGTGGTTTTCTTCTATTTGCTTTCTACCAGAGGCCAAGAGGTCCTGGGAATATCCCTATATATTTCTTGGAGATTTTAAGGACAGTGTCGATGACGGTGGTAATAATGGTGATAGTAATAAAACTTGCATTTGCTTATTATGTACTTATTTATTGATATGTGCCAGGCACGTGCTAAACCCATAAACACACACTACTTCATTTTCACAGGAAAGCAGAAATAGAAATGGTTTTATTATCTGCATGCTATGGTTGTTGAAACTAAGATTCAAAGGTTAGTACCTCTTAAGGTCAAAACACAAATAAAAATTAGAGCAAGAATTTGAATACAGACCTGGCTTCAAAACTGTTTACAACTGTTCTGAAAGAGATGTTCCTTTCTCTCTCTGGGCAATTAGGAGACTTTCCTTCTCTTGTTCTATTTCCTTGTCCAGTCAATTAGTCAGCAAAGATGTTCTAGGCACTGAGTTTGTTTCAGATGCTTCTCCAATGCTGACAGCCTGGAACCAAACCAACTAAATGCAATTTTATATGCAATTAGTGTTGTGTAGAAAATAAGCAAGACAGTCATAAGTGATGAAGGATCTACACTAACTAGTTTGGTCAGTGAGCACTATCCTGAGGAATTGTGTTTGCAGCAGGCACTGAATTAACGAAAATAAGGCAACAGTGGGAAGTTCAGTGGTGAAGTCTTCCAAGCCAAAGGAAGAGCAATTGCAAGAAGGCTGGGAAGGAAATGAGATTAGTGTGAACAAGGAACTCAGTGAACAGTGGGGAGTGTGGGAGTAGATGAGTTTGGAAAGGCAAACGCAGGCTAGATATAATGCAGGATCATCTAAATAGGCTAAAAGAAAGTTTAGAAGTTTCCATTTTATTCTCTTTGCTATAAGTTATCAAAGAAGCTTCAGCAGGTTACCAATGTAATCTGATTGATGTTTTGGGAAGATACTATGTGAACAATCAACCACAGTCGTGCTGGGGGTGAAGGAGAAGAGAGAACAGTTATATGGCTGTTTCAGTTATCCAAGGCAACAGATGTTGGCTGTAGGAAAAATGAAAAGTGGGCAAAAATCAGGATATAATTCAGAAGTAGTTCCCAAAGGATTTTTTGGTGAATTGAATGAGGGGGTAAAAGGATAATGAGAAATTACAGATAGTTCTTAGGGGTAGGGCCTGAACAATGGGTAAATGATGTTATTTGCTGAGATGGGGAAGGTAAGATAGCAGATTAGGGGTTTCTCAGAAAGGAGTAGAGCGTAGAAATCATAGATCTGCTTTGATATTTAGTTTGAGATGTCCATTCAACATCATAGTGGAGATCTCAAGCAAGGGGTGGATATGTGAATCTTGAATTTGGGGAATAGATATAAATGCTAGGGCCAACCGAACGAAGCCAAATGATATTAATGCCATGGGTTAGGGAGGGGTGTGTAGATGTGGGAGGGTGAGGACTAAGGTGCTCTGAGCACTGTGCCCTTTGGCTTCATTATTTCATGCAAACTCTTACTATGCTTCTATTTTAGATGAAAAACAGAGACCTCAAAAAAAGAGGTAGCTTGACCTACAGTTTGTAATTGGGCAGAGTAAAGATCTGAGCTCACATGTTCAAAAATGCAGAAGGCTATGGTCTTAGCCACTATTCTACAGTAGGAAGTATCATGAAGGTGGTATCTAAGTACTAAAGTTAAGATCTTTTAAAATCATTAAATAAATATATTAAATTTATTAGTATATTAAAAATATAATTGGAAACATGTAGTAATGATCTAAGCAGTGAATAAAGCATATTATAATGTATTTTCACTTGATCCTTGATAAGTCTAATCAGGAATAAGAATTATGTCATTTGGATCTCTAAGGATTTATCTTAAGAATTTGATAAACATCAAATCCATGATTGCCCTTATCTTAAAATAACTTAATTAGTTTTAAGTGTGTGCCGAGGGGGCAGGGTGTAGAAATGGGATCACTCTGCATGAATGATGCACAGCTTTTGGCATGCTAACAAGAGCTATAAAGTAGGAATGGAGGGTGTCAGCATGCACACACCCCATCACACAGCTGCAGCTTGCAAATTGGAAAGGAAAATATTAACAGGTGAGCATTAGCAAAGCTAAACCAGAATTTCATCATTGTCAAAAACCCAAGAAATAAACCAAGAAAGAAATATTTGAATATTTGAATATAGCATTCTGTGCAAAAGACTGAATTCTTTTTTCCCCCATTTATTTATTTTATTGCATTTAGGTTTTGGGGTACATGTGAAGAACATGCAAAATTGTTGCATAGGTACACGTGGCAGTGTGATTTGCTGCCTTCCTCCCCATCACCTACATCTGGCATTTCTCCCCTTGCTATCTCTCCCCAGCTCCCCACCCCCCACCGTCCCTCCCTTATTTCCCCCCAACTGACCCCAGTGTGTAGTGCTCCCTCCCTGTGTCCATGTGTTCTCATTGTTTAACACCCGCCTATGAGTGAGAACATGCGGTGTTTGATCTGCTCTTCTGTCAGTTTGCTGAGAATGATGGTTTCCAGGTAAAAGGATCAATGCAACAAGAAGAGCTAACGATCCTAAATATATACGTACCCAATACAGGAGCACTTAGATACATAAGGCAAGTTCTTAATGACTTACAAAGAGACTTAGACTCCCACACAATAGTAGTGGGAGACTTTAACACCCCATTGTCATTGTTAGACAGATCAACCAGACAGAAAATTAACAAGGATATCCAGGACTTGAACTCAGACCTGGACCAAGCAAACCTAATAGATATTTACAGAACTCTCCACCCCAAATCCACAGAATATACATTCTTCTCAGCACCACATCACACCTACTCTAAAATTGACCACATAATTGGGAGTAAATTACTCCTCAGAAATGCAAAAGAACGGATATGGTAACAAACAGTCTCTCAGACCACAGTGCAATCAAGTTAGAACTCAGAATTCAAAAACTAACCCAGAAACGCACAGCTTCATGGAAACTGAACAGCTTGCTCTTGAATGTTGACTGGATCAACAATGAAATGAAGATAGAAATAAAGATGTTCTTCGAAACCAACGAGAATGAAGACACAACACACCAGAATCTCTGGGACACATTTAAAGCAGTCTCTAGAGGAAAATATATAGCAATAAGTGCCCACATGAGAAGCAAGGAGAGATCAAAAATTGACACCCTATTGTCAAAACTGAAAAAGCTAGAGGAGCAAGATCAAAAAAACTCAAAGTCTAGCAGAAGACAAGAAATAACTAAGATCAGAGCAGAACTGAAGGAGATAGAGACACAAAAAACCCTTCAAAAAATCAATAAATCCAGGAGCTGGTTTTTTGAAAAGATCAACAAAATAGACCACTAGCCAGATTAATAAAAAAGAAAAGAGAGAATAACCAAATTGATGCAATAAAAAACGATAAAGGGGATATCACCACAGATTCCACAGAAATTCAAACCATCATCAGAGATTATTATAAACAACTCTATGCACATAAACTAATAAACCTGGAAGAAATGGATAAATTCCTGGACACTTGCCTCCTGCCAAGCCTAAACCAGGAAAAAGCTGAAACCCTGAACAGACCCATAACAAGGTCTGAAGTTGAGGCAGCAATTAAGAGCTTACCACCCAAAAAAAGCCCAGGTCCAGACGGGTTCACAGCCGAATTCTACCAGACATACAAAGAGGAGCTGGTACCATTCCTTCTGAAACTATTCCAAACAATACAAAAAGACTGAATTCTTTAAAGGATTTAATTAAAATACCTAAAAATTGGAAAAAACAATTGATGATATGCTCAGTTTAACCATGGAAGGTATCTCTTTGCCTCGGACATAATTCAAATTCTGTACATGTTCCATTATCATATAGCTTTTTTTCTAGTCAAAATAGTTCATAATGCAGGGATCAGTAGATTTCTATAGTAACCACATTTTATTTTCTAATATATTCAGAATCTCTCCCTAAGGCAAGGTCAGAAGAGAGGAAAATTTTCTGTCATTTGTGCATTTATTCCAAAAAGACATCTTGAGTTCCAGTCCCCATTCTTCCTGACCAGCTGTGTAGACTTGGACAAGATCATTAACCAATCATCAGTTTCCCCATATGAAAGGGGATAATAGTAACACCTATCTCATTGGCTTTTTCTGAGGATGAAGATAAATAATTCCAGTGATTTGCTTTGTATCATGACTACCACATAGTGGCCACTCAACAAATGAGGGCTGTTGTTTTTAGCCTGCCCCTAAATGTTGATAATCAAGTAGGAACAGATATCAAAATTCACATCCAGTGCAAAGTAAAATAAGGTAAAAGTATAAACAATAATGAAATTCAGAAAAGAAAGCAGTCTCATTTATAACGGCAGACAGAAGAGGATATAACGAAGAATGGTGCCAAGAGAATGGAGAAGACAGCAAAAGATAGAGTGGAAAGAACATGTTCGTCCTCGTCTGCCCATAGTACAGTAGGTGGACAGAGATGGTGATTTGGCCTGGCCATTGAAACCAAACTACTCCTAGAAGTTGGAACTCTAACGTTATCAGCATTCAAAATCCTGCATCAGGACCAGAATGGAGGAGAGAAAGTAATTCTCCTGCAGTTTGATGTGAGAAGGCTTCTGGAAAGTTTGCTAGTTGGTATAATATCAGTGTTTAATAAAATCATAGTATTTGTTTCTCATGAAAGGGAGTGGGATTTCCTTCCCAGTTTGGTAAAAGTTTTCCCTTTTGGGCACTGTTTCCAATGATCATTTTTGAGATTTTTACTTTGAAAATG